GTTAAAAATAGTTTGTGTGGAGATCTTAGCTGGAAGTATCAAAAGATCAGATGTTTGGTATCAGCCAATTATGCATAATATTCTTTTATTCATTTATTTAACAATATTAGGTGGTTTCTATGAAACTAAATTCCACCTTACTTTGCATATAAAAGCATAGAGTTCAAGTTCAGGACCATGAGAGTGCTACAAATGCTACAGTGATGAGACATCTAGATGTTGCATTTACTTCTTTGAGACACCTTGAGGAAAGAAATTAAACATCTAGAAGAAGCCACCATGTCCAAGGTGGCACAAGAGTTGGGATTATGAGGTAACTGGAAGGTGACTGTCAAGGCTGCTCATCTGGAGACCAAATGGAGATACGAAAAACGTGTTTTAATTGTGAAGGGTGATCATATAGAAGTTTTGATAAACTCCTGGTTTGTCACTTAGGCAGTCTAAGTTATAAGATTGATAGCTATGAATTACAGGAAATTGGGTTTTGGGCAATGCCTTCCAGTGTGCTAGCTCTTTACCAGATGCCACGCATAGAGTTACACGGGACAACATTCCTTTCCTCCCAGAGCTAATTTCTAACTTTCTTTTCCACATAAAAAGTGGTTCAGTAGAAATGACTGTTCCAGACGCAAGACTTGCTAGAGAGTTGAGCACAAAAGGAAGAAATTTTATGTTCTTTTTGAAAACTGAGCCTGGGCTCATGGAATCTGGGCCTAGATGTGGTGCTCTGGTAGCCACCAACAACCAAGACTCCTGTTTACCAGAACAAGATAAGAAGGCAAAAGTCTGAGCTAGGTGCATAAAGTAAAGCAAAAGTTTGAAGCCAAAAATGTGGCCCTGAGCATCAGGTACACGGAGCCAAAGTCTGAGCCAACCTGTCATCAATTCAAGAGCTCAACAAAAGCAGGAGAGACACAGGAGTGCAGTGGAGTCTGGGTAAAGCCAGCCAGCAGCCTGGAACTAAGCGTGGCAACCACGTGGGGAGGCAGTGGCTTGTCAGGAGTGCTGTCGAGTGGGCTTTGGCTTGGGTCACTTGGGACTGGGCAGAGAGGTGTCAGGAGTATTAGAGATGGAGCATGTGACGTTTACCCTCCATTTGCCTCTCCAGCTCTGCTGGTGTTTACCTACGAAGTTGGGCCCACATAGTATGCATCAACGGAATCCCTCTTAGTTTCTTTCCCATTGCTGTAATAAAATACCTGATACTGGAGAGCTGTTTATTTGGTTCTCTGTGATCCTGATGGCTGGAGGTCTAGAACATTGTGGAGCATCTGGCGAGGATCTTTTTGCTGCAGATGGTATCACACAGCAAGACAGAGCAGGTGTGCTTGCTCATGGGAGTATCACCTTCTTGAGCTCTCTCAGCCTTGATTCTCTCTCAGAAGTCCCACAGCCAAAACTCATTAACATATGCATTTGGGAATTAAGTTCCAACACATTAGGGGACATATTCAAACCAGGGTAGAATCCTTGCCCTCCGGACTCAGTGAAGACCAGATAAGAGCTAAAGATTACGGAGGAGGAGGAGAGCACAGCCAGGATGTCTCTGTCCTCCGCTTGCCTCCCTGTGTGTCAGCTTGGGGTTTCCATCCATGTTCCTTGCCTGGGGGTCACAGTCCTCTTGCAGTGTCACTGTTTGCATCAGCCTGACTTCGTGTTCCTCTACACCTAAAGGTGGTAATAACTTCCTTCACCAGCTTTGAAGTAATGTGTTGTCCCTTATGGTTCCCAGCATCTTGCCCACAGTTTTCTTTTTAAAAAGTATTAAACTCTTCTGGAATTATCCTAATGTGAATTTGTTGTCTGTCGGCTGAACCCAGCCTGATGCAGAATTCTGCATGAGTGAGAAGGTGAACTAAGTGATTTCTAAAAACACCTCTGTTTCTATGGCTTTGAATTTCTTTATCACTGACCTCATATTCCTGCATTCCTTAAGGTGACAAAAATTACCTTCCTGTATCTGGAATCTCACTGCAAATGCTCTTGGGGTATATATGAAATTCACTTAGAGACTTGTGATTCAGTTTAGTCATCTTTATAAGAATTTATGTTTTCAGGATAAATTGCAGTACTTTTCAGTTACTGTTACTACATCTGCAGGGTCAGCCAGCATCATTTCTGTTATTATGTAAGTCAAAAGAAGCCAAGTACAAGGGCACAGGCCTGTAATCCCAGCAATCTAGGAGGCTGAAACAGGAGGATGGCAAGTTCAAGCCCAGCCTGAGCAATTTAGCAACTGAATTTAGCAAATTAAAAGGGCTGAAAATTTAACCCAGTATGAAGGCTCTATGTTCAATCCCTAGGGAGAGAGGAATCTGTATCTGTATCTGTATCTGTATCTGTATCTGTATCTGTATCTGTATCTGTATCTGTATCTGTATCTGTATGTATTTCTATATCTATATCTGTATCTAGAGAGGGAGAGGGAGGGAGGGAGGAGCTTACACTGGCCAAGCAACTACATCACTGACTTTAGCAAGTTCAAGCCATAAATAACCTGCTAAATCACTCTGTGATCCTTCTAGAAAGACAGTAGTTGAAGCTCTTCCTAATAATGGTTTTCCAAGGATATCCCAGAACCTCAAGAAAGGATTTAAGATACCATGTGACTTCTGAGTTGGGTAATCCATAAAAGATGAATAGTCTTCTGATGTGAAGATCATTTCCAGTTGACTCAGAAAGAAGGTTTTGTTATTGCTGCTTGGTTTGTGTCAAAACTGCCTAACTTCTAATGGTTCATTATCTACCGGAGATATGCAGTGGGATGTTTATGAATGAAATCACAGGGCTGAGATTTGCTTCAAAATGATAGAGAAAGGGGACCAGCCGGGAGTAGAGATGGGACAAGACAGCAATAATTTAGCAACTGTGGAAGCTAGGGGTGGAGATGCAAAGGTTCATCAAACAATGCCCCCTGCTTTTGTCTGATTTGGGATTATGAAATATTAGAAGTTAGATGGATACAAAGCTAAATAAAAAGACACTTCTTTGCAGAGGAAAGTCACTCCTTGGTGCTCAGTAGCTGCCCATGATGGCATCGAGGAGCTCTGTGTGTGGGTTTCAGAAATGTAACAGGAAAAATGTATTGAAACAAAATGTAAATGAAGAATGCTATTTTTGTGAAAGTTTAACCAAATCATGCTTAATGGAAAACATCAAGATGATAGTATTCAGGATGTACATTTAGAATAGTCTTTCACAAATTGACAGGGGGAGCAAACAGAAAGATGTATACATTTAATAAGGGTTCCTAAGTAACCTGGGGTGGGGAGAGCAGGTGAGGTTATAGATAAAGTAAGATTGGTCATGAGTTAAGATTTTCCTGAGCTGGAGAGATTGATATGGGGGAGTTTGTTACACTAATCTTTCCACCTACATACATGCTGCTTCATTTTCCAAGGACTGGTTTAAAAGATAAGGCATGCCACATATCTAAAACATGACCATTTTACATGAAGAAAGTATTATATGACTCTATAAAATGTGACACAATGTTCTTTCTTGCCTCCTTTGATTCTGTACTTTCTAAATGTTGTCCATATACTGTTTGCCCATGTCTTTCCTCTGTCTCACACTTAGTTTTGTCTGTTTTGTGGAACCAAGCTGGTGTTCCTGGGCCCGGCCTGGTATTTAGAACATAAATACCTGACTTCCACGGCTAGCATGAGGCTCAGGAACCTGGTCAGGCACCCTGTGCATCTAGGCATCATTCTTTGGCTCTTTGCTTTTTTAGAAAACAGTTCCTCCAGGCTTTTATCAGTTTCCACTTACGGACTTTTATGCCTCTGGGATATCACATGCGTGTTTTTATTGCCTGCCACAATCATATTATGCTTCAGAGTCTAAGTGGCAAGGGAATAACTCAACTGTGCATGAATCTTCGACATGAAAAGCAGAAAAGTTTTTCCTTATCTGGGCAAAAAGAAATTACTAATGGTTTTCATTTTTCTGCTTGTTAGAAAACCTATGCACTTGTGTTTTGTATCCAGAAAAAGACCTGTTGTATTTTTATCTCAGGGTGAACAGCAGAATTTAATATGATAGCTACTGAGCACCTGAAAATGAAGGCTGAACCAGGGAGGCTCCACTATGACCACTACTGCAAAGAAAAGGAATGTGAAACGGCATTATCATCGTAAAACATGCTTCTCAGTACCTCCTCTCTGCAGGCTGTCTGCTAAGGCACAACAGCTCTCTGGAGCCAAAGGGAGCTCATTCTTAAACAGGAGATTCATGATGGGATGCAGCCATGTAGTTCTTCTGCTTCATCTGGTGTCCACTGAAGCCAAGGGTCTAGGATGGCTTGTTTACTCTCAAGGCGACCACCCCAGCGGGATGGTGGGAATAGATGGGGACCAGTGAGCCACCATCTTTTCCCTGCGGCCTCACTTGAGTTTCCTTGCATTGCAGTGGTCAGAGGGTGGTGGGATACCTTGCAGAATATCTGGTTTCAGAGCTGGAGAGAGTGAAAGGTGTGACGTGATTTCCATCATTACTGTTCACCGGATCCTCACAGCAACCTGGGAGATGAGTGGGGAGGAGATGGCCTCTCTAGAATAAGCTCTACCTGTAGGGTTAGATCTGAGCTTCTCAGGCCTAATAGTGAGGTTTAAAGCTTTCTTGCTCAAGTTTCTTAGCTGCTAACTCTGAGCATTCACCCCTTTTTCTGGGCTTTTCTATTGTTCCAAAAGACAGGAGAGTGGGGGAGCTGACACAAGTCCTTTTCCCATTTGCGCCACATTCCTATGCAGGGATCTCAGGAAACTATTGGCACTTTTTCTTTACTAAAAAGTCTGGGATTCTTGGTCAGTTAAGGATGTGCTTGGAAAGATACATAACAGAGACTTAGGATGATTGGTATCACTGAGAGTGATCTGTTTTCCCATGGTATTTCTTCAAGTTTATTTATCTTTCTTTAACTGATGTATTGGCTGGCCCATTCTCAAAATTTTTAAGTCTAATTTCTGGAATTTTTATTTTTTAATCCATTTTATTCATAGATAAAAAGAAATAAAAAGAAGAAGGAGGAGGAAGAAGAGAAGAAACCCACCACAAAATTTTAAAGTATGTAAATCAAGGAATAATAATGATACGTACACTATCATTGTCATCCCCAAATCATTCATTCTGTAGTTTTGATTTTAAAAATTTATTTTTATATTACCCATGATGCTTTCCAGTTTTGTTTCCCAAAGATGATTCAATCTTGCCTTTAATTTCTTTACACACTGAAACAGAAGTTTTTATAGTCTGTAGCTAATAATTCCATTATCTTAAGCCTTTGTATGCTTATTGCTTTTTGTTTGTTGCTTTTACAATGTATCTAGTTATCTTTTACTGTGCGCTGTCCATTGTTTCTGGTGATGATCTGTAAGACTCAGATAATGGCCAAATTGAAGTTACTTCCCCGGACAAGGCCTTGGAAGCCCGCCTCAGGCTAAGACCCGTCTTTAGAGCTTGAGCCGTCTTCACAGACTCAGATACTTAAAGTGAGGTGAGTGTTGCTTTATCTTAGTCCTTTGACACTTCAGTTTACCACCACCATAAGGCAAACTGCTTGCCTAGAGCAGGTGCTGGGTTTTTATCACCATCACTACCCCTCCTCAGTCACTGTCCGGCTGTCAAAGAGAAAGCTCAGATTTTCTGGTAATAGACAATGTCTCCAGGGAAATTACAATCTTCTTACTTATTTCTCTAGGTTCTCATTTTAAATTTTAGCTTTACTGTTTTGTCAGATCATTTATTCTATGAAGATATTTCTCATTCTTTTCTCTAAATATTTTGGTTATTTTTCCTAGAAGAGTTGGTCTTAAAAATGTCCTATCATCAAAAACAGAAAAACTCTTTCATCTTATTTCATGTGACCCTGTGAAAACCTGTGAATGCTTTTCGTTATCCCCACACCTCAATGTGGAAACTGAGGCCCAGAGTACCAAAATACTTTGCCTAAGGTAATACAGCTAGGAAAAAGTCCTGTCTTTCTGAATTCAAATATTTTCACTGGATTTATTTGAATAATAATCATGATCAACCAGTAACAAGTATATTCAGCGGCCAGTTCTTAGTTTCCAATACCATTTATCTAGCAAGGATCCAGGGTTCTTAGAAAATACCTAACTCTAGGTTGGAACAGTGGATAAACAGAAATTCCCAGTGGTCAAAACTATAATGATTTGAATAACAAAAAGTGTAGCATTGGGTTGTAATTCAAAGTATAGAATAATTAAACACAAGTGAATAATATTACCAATAAACAAGTAAATAAATGGGGGGAGGTACAAGTCTTTCTTATACAGAATTCTAAGTAATATATGTAGATACTCCTTTTCCCAGGAGCTGAAGCTGAGGGTGGGCTAGGCTTAATGACTTGTTTTTATTTTAGAGACTAGGGGACAAGAAGGGAAAATTTAACTGTGGAGAAAGATGACAAATGCACCTGAAACAAGGAAATAAGTTTAATGTCACCAGTGATGGGGTGTATCCAAGCATGTTCCTCTCCTGTCATAAGATGAGATGCACTCTTCTCTCCACTTCCTCAAAACCCATAACTAGTCGCATGGAAGTCTAATTGTGCAAAAACACAATAAAGCGAATTGAAGATAGGCTACACTATACCTCTGAACAAATACTCCCAAAATTGAGAGTGCACAAAAGACTGGTAACAAAATCATCCCAGGCCAGAAGGGACGGACCGGATGTCATGACTCATCACAATGTTGTATTCTGCACTGATTCCTGGAGCAGAAAACAGTCTTTAGGGGAGAAATTGGTGAGATCTGCATAAAGCCAGAAGTTTATGTACTAGTAAAAAGCTAAGAGTGGGTTTTTAGCTTTTACATATGATGGTACCATAAGATGTTGCCATTAGGGGCATAGGACATATAAGAACTCTTTGCCTAATCTTTGGGATTTTTCTGTAAATCCAAAAATATTCCACAATAAAAAAAAAAGTTTACTTAAAAGAACTGAGAAAAAAAAAAAGCAAACTTGTATGAAAAAAGCAGGGAGCCTAAATTATAAGGGTTTTCAGAACACCCAAGAGCTACACTGAAATTATAGTTTAATAATAATTTTGCTGAAACATTAGTTCATTCTCAGAGAGATCTTTCAGGTCAGTAAGGCAGAGATATAACACCATTTAACAAAAGAGTAAAACTTAAACAGAGAAATTTAACAATTGTTGAACAATGTAGCTGAGCATGAACACCTGAACTCGGACCCCAGAGATGTACACCCAGGCACATCCCGTGGTAGCCCTCCTGCTCCTTTGGAAAGTTCCAGTGTTTTCTCCTTGGTCTCCCTGATGTTCTGAAGTAGGTAAAAACCATCCACATATTCAAAAAGTAGCACAAGTGCCATTATCCAACAGAGGCATACAAGTAACAGTACTGGGCTAGTTTATTTTTTCAGTTCAAGCCAATCACCTGCAGCCTTCCAGGCTCGATAACTAACTTTCTTCTTTTGCCTGGAACCTCCGTGTCACAGGTCCACACTCTTATCACGGGTAAATCACCTTCAGTGTGAATAGCCATCACTCCACTGTAAGAATCTGAGCCTGACTTCCTGCCTAATGACAGAGTGGGAAAGCTGAGGCTTCTGTGGTGGGCTTTGCACTCCAGTGTCTACTGCTATTCTGGTGTCCCCAGGGCTGAGGAGCAGGATGTGCCCTCACTGTAGGACCTTAGCTCAAAGGTGGTCCAGCAGTGGTCCCCTAGGGTTCTGTCATAACAAGGTCCCTATGTACACGGTGCCATGTCTTGTCTGTTCTATATGGAACAACTGTGTTCTTTGTCCTTGGAAAAGTCAGTGTACGGGCATTATCCTATTTCAGTCTTCATTGGCCCAGGCATTTGTATTTATTTTGCTTCAGATAATTATCAGCAGTGACAGTAAGCCAAGGTTCATTTTCGGAAGAAAATGACCCAACAGTTAATAATTACATATATCCCTTTTAAAAACCCACTTTGGTTTGCTTTTTTATAAAAGGAAAGAAAGAAATCTCAGCTTCTTAAAGTGGTGCATTTTAATGCAAATGAACATTTGCTTGTGAGTCTCTTACTTGATTTTACACCTTCCCTTAGTGTCAAAATAGGTTAGCAGTGTAGGAAGCCTCAGTTTGCTCCCCGGTCTCCTGGCCTCCACTGCCCTTCTGTGGCAATAGTCACAAGCGCTGAAACAGTGCTGTCAGGGGCAAATGGAGGAGAAGCAAGTCCATGTGGACACACAGCCAGCTCGCACTGAGTAATCACCAAAAGAGGAAGCTGTTCGGCCTATGCATGTTAGGAGAACCCAGCCCAGCCGAGGGCTGCAGATCAAAAAAGGACCCTGTTCCCTGTAGTGAAAACCATACTTAACTGATTGTCGAATCAGGTTCTCTTTCCTGTCCTGAACCATGTGAGAATGGGGAATGCAGGTGATTAAGGACCAACAGGAAAGTGAGGGCGTGCTGCTAAACCCAGGCACAGCGAGGAGGAGGACCACTCTTGCACTTCAGAGGCTATGGAAACTGCCTATGAGAGTAGCAGTGTTAAAAAAAAAAAAAAAAAACCAAAAACCCATTCAGGGAAAGAGAAAATAAATAAGGCCGATCGTAACTGTGTCCAGAAGCCCTGACAGCTCCGCATACTGGATCACACTGCAGCGGCAGCTCTTCCCTCTTCTCCCCACACTGCCTTAACGTCCTGTGTGAGCGCGGTCTCTGCTGGAGCTCTAGCTCATGTCTTCTTCCTCCTTTGCCTCTTAGACCATCTTCATTTTGGTGCCCAGAGTGCAAAGTGAAACTCCGACTCTCTAGCACAAGCCCAGGTCCTGTTTTCCGTCCTGGCTGGGAGATGGACACAGGAGCAGACTCAGCCTCATTTTCTCCCTAGGTGAGTGGGAGATGCTCGGGAGCCCCGTCTCAACTCTCTGGCTGTGTCTGCTGACGTCTAAAATGACCACAAAGGCTTGAGTTTTACTTTCAGTTCAGTCAATCAAATGACTGACTCATTGAGAAGGAAGGGCATTCAAGCCTGTTGGGTGATGGACCGGTCAGTCGAGTAGCTCTGAGTGGACATAGCCATTGGTATACTGATTTATTCTTAGGAGATATGACTTACAAAAAGGGTACGTAGAAGGGTGGCAGACACCAGCCGCTAAAGTCAGAATGCTGTTGGCCTCATTTGGATTTAAAGATGAACTACACTTATTTACTATACTTATTTACCTTACATTATTTCTTGTTATGCATCTATATTGCATTATCATGATAACTTACCCAAAATAAATTACTTTTTATTTTGGACTAAGCAGAGAATATAATGCAGACATTATTCAGTGGTAGAAAGGTTTAGATAAAAAAAAAATGATACAGGGAAAAATTTAAGGAAGAGCTCTAAACCAGAAATATGGTATTAAGACATTAACCCTTGTCTTCAAATCTTAGCTTCAAAGAGAGTACATACCCCAACTTTGGAATCCATGAGGCTTAGAAAGTGTACGTGGGCCATTCTCTTCCTCCGGAAGCAGTGCTGGCTGCTTTCCATGTTACAATCAATGTTTTCCTTTTAATAAACACACAGATTTCCCATTCTTCTGTTTCCCTGTCCTCAAACCACCTGGATGAAGGCAGCTAGGCAGAGGTCCAGATGTCAGAATTCAATGTAACATGAACTGAAGTTTTAGACAGAGCATCTTGAAAACACTGATGGGAGTAAGAATGGAAGGTGGTGTTTCTCAGTCTCTCCACAACCCTGCAGACTCCCCTGCAACCCACAGACTCTTGCCTTTCTTTGTAAGGAATCTGAGCAATGACCTCTGTTTCTCCTGCCCAGTAAAGCATATCCCTCTTGGTTGCAAGCAAGTGGTTCTGTGATGAGAACCCTGGCCACACCATGTAGGGCAAGCTGGTTTGGGGTTTGAGCACAGGGATCTACTCTGCAGGACACCTGTTTGGTGGTGATGGTCCAGGAGTCTGGGATGTTATTGGAACAACACTGCATTGTACCTGTCATACTGGGAATGCAACTGAGTCTGATTCTAAACTACTTTTTGATTTGAAAGCATCATCAAAATTGGTTTAAACGTACTGTCACTTCCATAGAATTGCTGGCAGGTCTCCAGGGGACAGAAGGAACCAAATGGAAAATGTGTCCTGATCTACCTCCTTTTCCCTGCACAAAAGACCTTTAGAGTAGGGAGGTGGGGAAGTCACGAGAGCTAACAGACTGCTGCTAAAAAGAGGGAAACATCTCTTCTCTCTCCCTCTCCCCTCAACTCCTGACCCATGCACGCTCCTCCCTGTGTAACATCCATGGTTGAACCTATAAATGCAGGCCATTCAGTAGAGGTTAAGAAAACACAAGTGAGATTTAGTTTCTTCACCATGGTCAGTAAAAGGGACCCAAAGGTCATCCCCACCCCCACAGTCCTGGTTTCCGCATGGCAGCCACCTGTTGAGCCCTCACACCCCACAGTGGACCTTTGTCTGCCTGGAAAGTGAACAGGGATCATTCTGCTTCCTTCATTCATGAGCAACTTGTTATAACTGCAGGAGAGGGAAGTTGTTTTACGGAGTTCCAGCCTCTGAGATTGGCAGCCGTATTATCCTGGGCTCATCCGGGAGATGTTTAAAGTGCAGGGCAATGGGGTGCCATTCTCCACAAATATCTTTGAGTTCACACCCTTGACCCAGAATTTCTGATGGGTGAAAGTTGTTTCGAAGGGCAGCTGGGTAACACAACAAAGACCTTTCAAGAGGTGGAATTTAGCTGAGCCCAACCAGACAATTAAAAATAAGGCAAATTATATGATGATTCTAAGAAATTTTTAAAAATTATTGAACTTAAAACAGAAATGATCCCTTGTATATCCAATTTAGTGTAAATTGCTACTCCAACTAAAAAATTAATATGGTTTATAAAATAAATGTTTTTGTGGTTGCACTTCATTTATTTTCTGATGATAGCTTACCATTTTTCTTGGATTTTAGAAAAAGATCATGCGTGTGGCTTGCTCCACTTCTTCTCACCTCTGGGAGGGCTCAACGCACTTGGGGCCAAGGCAGCATGTAAGGTTGGCCCCATTTTAAGAAACAGAGAAGGGACAGGGCTTACTTGTGAGAACCTATACATCTATGGGAAACTGAGATTCTTTTGCAACTTCCTTCCCCAAACAGCTAATTTTTCACAGCACAGATTATGGCTTGAACCAGCAGGCAGCAATTCTGTTTTCCAATGGCCTCTGCTGAGACAGTGTGAGTAGAAATGTCCAACACAAGTAGATGGCTTTTTGCAGGGCTTTTGGGGAGGTAGATGTTCTACTTTCTAATCTGCGTGAAGGATACATGCATTCATTTTGGGATAGGTTAACCAAGCTGCTAGAGTTCCATCTCTGATGTACATTATGCTTTGACTGAAAAGCATTTCAGAAAGGAAAAACAATCTTCTGATGTTTATCCAAAAGCATTGTGTTAAAACCTAACTGAAAATTTCTCCTCTTTGTTTTTGTTTTCTGTTTAAAATTTTTGTTGGAGAGAATCACAAATTCATATGCAGTTGTAAGACTAACACAGAAGGATTTCACGCCTCTTCTCCCAGTTCCTCTGCTTGGTAACATCTTGTAAGCTATAGAACAATATCGCAGCCAGGATTTGCAGACAGTGACATTGATGCAGTGAGAAGACAGGGCACTGTCATCCTCATAGTGTTCTGTTCCGTGGCTTTTTTTTATAGCCACACTGTCTTCCCTTTTTTCTTCCTCTCTTTCATACCCGATCACTTGTACTCACTTGTTTTCCATTTCTGTAATTTACTATTTTAAGCATTTTGCATAAATGAATCAAATAACATGCAACCTTTGAAATGAGCTTCCCCACTCAGCATAACTGTCTGGAGATTCATCTGTATGGTTGCTTGTATCGATGGTCTACTTCTTTTTGTGGGCAAATACTATTCCACACTTGAATGTGCTGCAGATCAAATAACCAGTCACCCACTGAGGCATGTGTGGATTGCTGTTGGTTTTGGACAATTAGGAATAAAACACTGATGAATATGGGCTTTAATTTTTCTGGTGTAAATGGGGCATATGGTAGGTACATGTTGACATTTTAAAGAAACTGATACCTTTTTTTAGAGTGACATTTTACATTCTCACTAGCAATGTATGAGCGACCTAGTTTCTTTGTTTCCTCACCAGCACTTGGTAGTGACACTATTTTCCATTTTAGTCACTCTGATAGAATAAGATTCTAGTCTCGAGCATGTTCATAGTTTCTCAGTAAACCAATTTTATGATGGTTGCTTATGACTGTCAGGTAATTCTAATGTCTCTGTCATCTCGGTGCTGGCCCTAGTTGATTGTCTTTTTTCATTTGGTTTGACATCTTCCTGGTTGTTGGTATGGTAATTAACTTTTGAATGAAACCTGGATATTTGGGATATCATGAGACACTCCATCTTCTTTTCACCCTCTGTTTTAACTGGCTTCCTCTAACACTGTTCCCAGGAAGAAAGGGTACATTGCTTCATTTGGGTGTCACGTGGCACAGAAGCCCAAGATCTCAGCCCAGACTATATGCACATCTGAAGAACAGGAACGCCCTGGTATTTCTGTGTGGAAGTGGGTTTCTTTACCACCTAACCAGGCCTCCACTTATACTACCCCTAGCAGGGAGGTAGGAGAACCTCACGGCTGCTCCCAAGCGTGCTCCTCTAACACTAGCTAATGACCAATCCTGATCCGCACTAGGCCACCTCCGAAGCACCCCCTCTGGGAGAGGGAATTGTGTTTTTCTGCAGTTACGCCTCCCCATGAGGTCCCCAACGCCATGGGGGTTCCTTGCAGCAGCCTGTGGAGGGCATATGCCGAGCTCCCCACTGAGCCTGAGAAACATGAGTTTTGGGGTGGCCCAGCTTTTCCTGAGTTATCTGGATACGCTAGCATAGCTGTTTTTGGAAAGCTTTCTGTCTTCCCAGGATACCCCTTTCCTGGACCCAGCTAGGAATAGCAGGCTTGTCTTGGGACTTTGGTCTACATGTGTGGTTATGGAATCTCCACATTGGCAGCTTCTTCAGCTCCAGGGTGTGAAGAATAAACAAAAGCCAAGGAGTTACCACCATGTCAGCTCACAGAAGCCGTGGTCCCTAGACAGTCTGTGTCCTCTATTCACCTTTCAGAGTCTCCTAATAAGTCCTAAGAAGGAATTTTCCTAGGGAAAGAGATGGTCTTTCTATGGCAAAGTAAAGAAAACAACATATATTGAATTTTCACAATGCAAAATATTTTTCATTAAAGAATTACGTTCATTCCTACATCTTTGGTGCCAAATTTACCCTTTAAATAAAATAGTGATAGGAGATAGAACTTTTTGTTATCTTTGACAAAAAAGAAGAAAAGCTGGCAATCACATAGTCTTCCAAATTTCTTTTATCCTTCTTGCTTTTACTTTTTTAAAAAATGGTGTCTGTTTTAATGCATTGGAGTACGCAATCTTAATAGCGCAGTTTAGTGAGTTTTGACAGTGGGAGGACTGAGCATGTAGACCTCAGTCACAAGAAAAAGTGCCCATTGCCCAAGAAGTTTCCCTCCCTTCCCCTGGGTTTTTATTTAGACGCTGTGGTTCAGTTCACCTGCCCCAGTGCTTCCTAGGAATGGAAGCACTGAGATTATTTAGTTCATTCCTTTCTCTTTATGTGGTGAGGAATACTTTATTGTATAGACCTCTCTGACCTCTTCCTACCCTTTCTCCCCTCTCAGATGACCATGTGCCCCTTTATTCAGTCCTGTCATTGTCATCGTCCCCAAGAGTGGCCTTGTTACTATTCCCGAACCTCATCACGTCATTCTGTCGGCACTAAGGTTAGTGTCTTATTTGTACTCTCGTGTTTAATCAAAAAAACCTGAAGACTTAAAACATTTTCCTCCTTGCATGAGCAGTTTATGCTGAAAAAAAATTGTACTAGTAACAGGTGAGAGTTCAGTAGTTCTACATTATCACCATTTAGTGTTAAAGGTCTTTTTAGTTATCCTAATAGATGCTTAGTGCTATCTCAATGGTTTTTAGATTTTCATTTCTCTGGTATCATCTAATTCTGTTAGGAATTCATTAAAGTCTTATTTGGTCATTGATGTATCTCTTTGGAAAATATCTGGTTAAATCTTCTTCCCATT